TTTTTGGCTGCTCTGCAGCTCTACAGTACTTATGCACCAACCGCCATTGATCTTTACAAAATATTTTCAAAAAAATTGTATTTTAAGAGTTCTTTTACTAGTTAAATGAATGTATTTATTTCTAGAATACACTGTAAGTATATAACATAAAATAATTTTAGTCTTTTTTATTTTGGAATTATAACTATTTCAGGTTTATGCCTCCAAATCACATCCCATTAGAATCCAACTCAAAGCATGCAGCTCACGTCGCCGTATTATTAAAAAACGGGGCCAAAAAAAATCCCCGACACGGTATATTCAAAGCGAAACATTGGGATATGTTAGAGGCGTCTCGCACATACGGCAAAACGTATCCAGTAAGACGTAATTACTGCAGACTGACGATCAGTAACTGTCATCGTATTTGAAAAGGACGCTCCAACGAACCTGAAACCGTGGAACTCGCGATCTCATGTGTCCGATGAGTTTAATTCAGAACATGTGTTGTCAATTAATGCGTACGTTTAGCTAGAAAAAAACGCCTACGAGCTCGTTGTAAACTGAAGTATGATTATTTGTAAATCGGTAATGTTTAGTGTCGTAATAACACGAATAATTTGGCCAAAGATATCAGTATGAGAAGTAGGTATGTTGAACATTTTTAGTTGCAATGAAGATTTAAGTGGTCAATTGAAATAATTTTATAATTTTTATAATATAATTGTCTTTATATGTAATTGTAACTAAACAAACCTTTATCCTCAGTATAACATCGAATTATCGAAAGACATGACATCTGACTGTATGACATCTGACAGTGTGACATCTGACATCTGACAGTATGCCATCTGACAGTATGACATCTGACAGTATGACATCAGACATTATGACATCTGACAGTATGATATCAGGCAAAAGATATGACATTATGACAGCTGACAGTATGACATCGGACACTATGATATCTGAAAATATGATGTCGTACAATATGGTATCTAAAAATATGTGGCGTTTATTCTGTAACTACGGTTGTTATCTGGCAACATGAAACTTGCTAGGTTATCACTTTCATAGCAAATATATAATAACTTTGACAAAAATCGCTAATCTAGTATTCATGGATGCTACAAAATAATTTCAATTTGTATATGTGGTGTAAATTAGGCCTTTACCAACTAACCTCCGAGGACCGGGACCAATTAGGTTATATTTCCGTGGCCATGACGTCTAGTGAAAACGTATCCAACTAGAGATGAAAACCGCACCAGTAGACTTGGTCAAAGCCGCAAACTCAAATAACTACGAACTCTTTAAACTATGTAGGTCACCAAAAAGAAGCATAAAGGATACAGCATCCAAATGTTTACATTTTGTAGGTAGACTGGCTTGAAGTAAAAAAAAAATCATAAAAACGCAGTTTTAAAATTTCACTAAGACAGCAAAATTTAATTTTATCGCATGCAGAATTTTTGGCGATCTGAGAGATAGTCCCTAGACAGCTATCGGTGCCGTTGTCAACCAGCAGACTTTTTGACGAGCTAAGACACAGCTCCTATATGTTCCTGGAGGATGCACAATAGGTTCATTGAGGAGTAAGTGACCCGCCCTCCCCGATACAGATCGCAAGTCCTCTTACTTCATTCCTATAATAATATATGTACCTATTTAATTTTGATAAGTTTCTATTAGCTCATCAATAAACATATCTCATTAATGTCTTGGTCTGTTAAAATATTTTTTACTCAAGGGTCCAAATTTTCTTTCTCAGCAACTAATTGTTACGCTTATCCACCAAGAATATTTGGTTGCTTCCAAATTAATTTGGAATCCACTTTTACAAACACCAATATAATTGTTGCTCAACTAACGTTCGTTTTTTGAGAACGTACTTCGAGTATACCGATTCGCTTCCTTTAGTATGAGAGCCCACTGCAAAGTTCGACCGTGATCTGATAACGAAATGAAATATGCTCCAAAGGTATGTAACAACATTGTTCTTTACCAAATTGCACCTGTGCAAAGTGGTTAAAAAAAATATTTTATATTCAAAAAATCACATAAGACATGACAGCGATAATTGTGTTTTCCCTGAAAATAACAATCTTAATTCCTAGTGAACCCAGCTTTTAAACCTGAATTATTAATATTTTTACCTACCTTTTAAACCATGTGTATGTGTGAAAGGAAGAATGATGGCATTGTATTCGCTCCGTGCGCGACAGCAGCGCCAATTTGATTTGGTATTAAAGGACTATTTCTGCCTATACTGACAATTACAATTTTTAATAGAATTCGTAAATAAAAAGTATATATGTTAGTTTTAATAAATGTATATGGATTTGTAAAACAAGTAAAACATTAATTTATTGTTATTATATATTTTTCCCACTTAAATTAAAGAAAATTATGTATAATCAATAAAAATCTATAATAAAATATAGGCAGGCAACAGTATTTACTGGAAAATGTATGAGAAGTTGCCTAAGTTGTCATTGAAGAATTAGCCTATTCTGCCAAAATAAAAAAATTACCATTTAATAATAGCGTGAAGTTAAAATGTATAAAAAAAGGATCGTTATTTATATTTTAATTTTTGTTCGAAAGAAAACAGAGTAAATGATTAAAACTTGTATTCCCATCAGTAAGTCACAAAATTGCAGTCCGGCCACATATAATAATCAAAGGCAGAAATCTTGAAATCTATTCCTTGCTGAATGAACATTTAAGAATAAAGGGATATTAGAGAACATAAATTATAATTTATTGTTCATTTAAAACCTTTCAAGTTTCTGATGTCTACTATTTCCAGCATTACTGTTATTATCACAAAAATAAAGGTAATTTTTCTTCTTATTGTACACCTATCCATTTATTTCTTTGAGTATTTGTACAATTTTTAACACAGCAACTCCGGTTGCTTATTGTGTTGTTTTTACCTACTTTTTTAAAAAAAAAAGTAAAATGTATACGTGTATTTGATATGCCAAAATTACAAAATATCACCCTAAAATGCACGAATTATCCGCAGCTAGCGCTAGTATCGCTTTTGCTTCCCTTTCCATGACTTCGCACGGAGCGAATAAACCATTCGCAGAGATAGTCAATAATAATTATAAACTCTTGTTAGACAATTCTTTTAAACCATAAGCATAGTAGTTTTTTTGTCGTTTCTATGGCAACCTGTAAAAATAAATCACAATAATAGGCATACAAATAAATTTTTAAATCAGCAAAAATTGATTCATACTGTTAATGATTTTTACCTACTAATCATGGATAGATGTTTTTGTGCCATGTTAAGAGGAAGAAAATGTTTCCCTTTAACGATATACAAGATATATTTGAATGATATTTTCTGGAAATCTTTAAAGGCAAACAAAATTAGCGCTGTCATGCTTTATGTGATTTTTTTAATAAAAAATAATTTTTTTAAGCCACTTTACTCAGGATTGGGATAGGCACAATTACCATTTGGTAAAGTACAATGTTTTTGCATGCTTTTGGGGTATATTTCATTTCGTTATCAGATGACGGTAAAAATTTGCAGTGGACTCTTGGGCTACTTCTATCTAGTCTTCCTACTGACAATAAAACAACTGAGACTGTAACATCTGACGGAATAACATCTAAATATGATTCTTCTTCGTTTGAAAAGACTAGACTAATGGAAAACTATCACGTATGCAAAATAGTTACATAATATGATACATTGATGATCCAAAAACACAGACACAGAACCATTTGAACATAGTATTGGAATACGAAGAAAGCAATGGAATATATTAGACTCAAGAGGCCGCAGTATTCTTGGTAAATGGTAGATATATGGGTGATTCTCGCCTAACTATGATTTTTACAACTTACATTTTTCTAAAATTAAAAATGTTTCAAAACGTATGTTTTACGCGTTTTTGTTTTCCATTTATGCATAGAAATAAGCCTGTAAAGTGGTTTTACTACAGCTACGACACAACAAAAACTGTGACAACATTTAAAAATTTTAATGCCACGGTACTGACATTATTTCCACGGTACTGACATATAAATGATATTTTTTTTTACCAATCCAAAGATTGGTATAAAATTGCAATAAAATTCAATGCAGTATGCATTAGATTGTAGTTATAAGAGGTAAATTTTATATTAAAAAATGAATTTTGATAGAAATTTATATATTTAATTTTAAAAATGAGAATCTGACATGCCACGGTACTGACATTTCGAGTATACTTATATGCAGCTTAAAAAAAAATTACGAAGGTTTATGGTCTAATTCATAATGTCGGTTGTAAAATACCTCTAAATTTATAATATTAGTAACTTTTTGATGAGGAAAACTTATGCTAAACGACAAATAAAACACTGGACATAAAAAATCACAGTTAGGCGAGAATCACCCATATACCAATTTTTCATTGTAGCTAATCGGTAAACTCAAACTGGTCCAATCTAGTAGGAATTTATCTCATACTACCCAATTTTATTTGTCCTTATAATTACCAGTTCAGCACTTTTTACAAGTTAAAAGAATTGAATAATTTGTAACCATAAAAATATTATAAATATACTGTTTTAAATAAATGTATCAAAAGCGCGAAATCTTGTAATAACATTTTATCAAGACATTATGGATTCGTTAATTTATTATTTTGACCAGAATTTCTGATACGTTAAAAAATCGATCGAATATTATAAATACAAACATATATTTAGTGAACCCTTATTAAAGTCTATAATAATTTAAACATTTGGAAAACACTGACACTAATTACATTATAGCAAGTCCAAAAAGAAATGACGAATAGAGATTTCTTAACCCCCGGAAATTGAAAATAGACCTATTAGCGCCCTAAAAGTACTTCAATAATAATGCAATCAAAATTCCGAACAGATGTTAAACCGCTACACATCAAATTATAGAAACATAAGGCCTATTAAAAAAGCTGACATGCTTGAATTATGATACCAGATTGATAAATAATATAATTGTTATTGGTTTTTGTTGTAAGTTAACGTACCTTAACGTAAGCGTTTAATTTTTCCCCATTCGGCCTGTAGAGGTCCTTACAGCTAATAACTGAAAAAAAAAAAGAAAAATAAATCGTCAAATTTGAATAGTTATCAACGAGAAAAATATTATACGATTTTTAGCATCAACTGCTATTTTAAGGGAGAATATTAAAAAAATAGTGCCAAATTGTTTTTGTTTTGGGTATATGACAGACAAAATTTGAAACAATTTTATAAACAATGCGGTAGAATTACGATCCTGTACCGCTTGGTGCATCTTAGATTATCTTTTATACTTTAATTGTGTGGACTAGGAAAATCTTAAACATTTAACTCGAATCTATTAATTAATAATAATATTACTCTTCCTATAATTTACCCTCTTCTGAGTGAATTGTATTCCTTGAAGTTGACTGAACTTGTGCGGGGAATGAACGGCTATTATTAATATTTGCCGTGGCGCTCTGGGGCAACTTTAAAATGATTGATGGTAACATTTTACTTACAGGTGAGGAAAACGCTAATCATCATCGAAAGGATAACGCACTGCGATTAAATTACTGCTAATACAGCACCCATAAAATCCTACAACGAACCATGCAAATTAATTAAAAATGCACATGGTCTGCTTTAGCATTTGAAGCCGTGTTCGCTAAACCACAGAAATGCCCGTAAATAAATACGGACCGCTCGAACACACTCATATTAGACTTTTATAATTTGGGCATTCTAGCAGATGAACTGAGCATCATATTGTGCTTCATATCATCCTGATCAATGACCAAGCGATGCCATTAAATTTAAAAGTATACTCAGCTACAAGAAATAAAAGTGATCCTAGAGTCCTGTCCAGGGTCATGACAAAACTATGGATGTTCGGTTATGACCCAGAAATAAAACAGCAGAAATAATATAATTTCATTCTATCAATGGTCAAATATTTAAGAGATAATTTAGGAAAAATGGCCAGAAAAATTATTCATTACCTATTTACCACAGAAGACCAAACAACTCTTTGAAAGGTCAAGCGCAGAAAAATCACTGGACATTATCCACTGCCCTGAGGTAGTAGAAACATCTGAAAACTTTCTGCCTCGGCAGAATTCTGATCAGGTATCTAAGTATCTAGAATAGGATCGAAGAAATGCATAAGAGATATTACAATAACTCTCGGTAAAATCATTAGAACCCTCAGAAATAAAATCTTTATAACTCTCTCACATGATTAAGGATATTCACAATATATTAAGATAGGTGTAGCAAATATGGAGTTTTAAATTTTTGGATTTAATTGATTAAAAATTCCCAAAAGTCGTTAAATTTGATGATATACATTCCTTTGTCTTCTAAATATGAAGGTAATTCATATAATTTGCTAAAATACACAATGTTTAAATTTCATAATACATTCTTCAATTTAAAGATAATATTTTTCAGACCGGCCTTGTGTATAATAGCCACCTGTGCCGAAACTCACGCATTTTAAAAACACATAATTTCTATCTATTGGTCCAGCTGACTGACGAAATCCAGGATGCACTGACAAAGAAAGGAATGGTCCAAAAGAGCACTCTCATAAAGAGGAGTAGATAGCACCATATTCAGATGAATGGCTCACCTGCTATCTACGAGAACTGTCGAGACACAGGGCAGGACACCATCTCCACCTGCACAACCAGATGAGTTCTATCACCACTAATGTGGAGCCTAACCGTAGACGAACTTCTATGCAGATTGACTGACATCGGCATACCCTGTCAAGGTTATGCCGACGACATATATGATAGAGGCAAATTTGGAAATATTTTATATGATATTGTCCAAAGAGACTAGAATATATCGAAAAATGGTGCCAAGAGGTGAAAGTACAAACCCCCTCCAAAACAACACTAGTAGCATTTTTAAGGAAAAGAAATTTGAATCTTAAAAACGTCCAATCGAACGGGATAGATATAAAATGGAAAAAAATCAAATATCTAGGCCTAACCCTGAATAATAAACTTTTCTGGAACATAAATGAGAAGGAAGTAGTAAATAAGATCACAAAAGCCCTAATGGTATCCTGAAACATTGCGGGTAAAAGATGGGGATGTAACCGCAACAATCTGCGATGGATATATACAACAATAGTGAGACCAATCATCACTTATGGGGCTGTAGTCTGGAGTAACAGATCGAGTTTATCTACTACGAGAGTAAAATATCTCAAAAGTACAAAGACTAGTCTGTGTTTGGATCATTGGTGCAATGAAAACCTGTCCTACGGCCGTAATGATGGTGATTATAAACCTGTGATTATTGATAGAGAACGTGGCAAAAAAGACAAGATATAAAATGAAGATTCTTGGGATAGGGCCCAGGACGAAATAAGGAAGAAGTACCTACGGTTTTTATGAAAAACCACAATTCCGGCTGCAAGAAAGAATGGAGCCAAGAATCCATCGTGCTTGCAACCAAAAGACATGCCTTTCAGTGGTTTTGGAACCATCCATTCCAAAACCATAAAAGGAACTGGAAGAGGAGTGTATGGGCCTAGAACCAGGCACTCTGAAAGTTTGGGTAAATACCCTTACATCTCCCAGGTGGAAATTCACACCATTGAGAAGTGTATCCAGTTCAACATCGAAAAAACTATCACAAACAAGAGATTATCATTATGTCCGATAGCCAAGGAGCTATCAAAGCGCTGAGCTCTTACGTAATCAGCTCAAAAATGGTCTGGAGAAAAACTAAATGAGCTAGGTGAGGAAAATACAGTTATTTACTCTTACTTGGGTTTCGGGGCATAGTCTTGTAAGGAAAGAGGCAGAATCCCCTTTGTGTGACCTGAACCTATATTAGGAGAGAATAAAAAAAATTGGGCAGTAGAAGAACCAATAATTGGAACAATCTCTTGGGGTTAAAACAGGATAAGATACTTCAGGGTGAATATACCCAGAAAAGATCGGAAGCATGTATTAGCCTGAGCAAGAACAGCCTACGCATTGTAACAGGGATCCTTACTAGATATTGCTGACTTAACGGATACCTTAGTAGACTGAAAGTAATAGAAGATGGTGAGTAAAGATTCTGTGAGGAGGAGGAGGAGCAGGAGGAGGAGGATGAAACCTCCATTCACATTCTGACTGAATGTCTAGCCCTCCATAATCCAAGAACTATACTATACTCCAAATCCTCCTACATTCCTATTTCCTTGATGCATTAGCGACAGAAGGGGAAACAATAGATCTTTTAGGTTGCAGTGCATTAATATCCCATATCCAACATAACATAACATTACATAACATATAGTTTTAAGAATAATATTTTTTATTTAAATTAAAAGTCCCAGTAAAAATACAAAAATTCCAATTTACTATGGTTAAGGAAATTAAAAATATGTTTTTATCCATTGCCTTTGATCCATTTTGTTTCAATTATTGGTAGTTATAAAAAAAACTAATATTATTTTATATAAATAAAAATTTCCTTGGTATTTATTTTCTATCATTTAAGCAAAATAAAAACATGACCGAATAGATCAAGAAAATTTTTATTCATAAAATTCTGCTACGGTCAGGAAATTATCCTTATTTAAATAAAATTATTTTTTTAAATTGTTCTTAACTTACTATGTACAAAAAGGTGTTCTCCTTCCATAAAAATCTTCAAATCCATGGACCCTCTCACATCAGTTATACTGAATTTGCTAGTAGATCCACTTTCAGAAAAAATTGACGAATCATTCGTCTTACTAGAATTATCAAAAATGAGACACTTTCTAATGCCCCTGTAAGCTTCGATGGGCGTTCCTACATCAAGAGTATTCCCCAAAACATAAGTATCACCTAGGATTTCTTTATTTTCTAAATAGCAATTTTGTATGGGAGTATTTACATAATCAATTTTACTAGAGTCGTATAGATTATTTGTTTTATCCGTACTGAAAGGTTTCCTTCTTCTTATACCTTTTTGCCTTTTTAAAGTAAAATTATTGTTATCTTGTGAGTTGTCTAACAGTATTTTTTTAGTTTCGAATTCTGAAAATTCTTGATTTGACGGCCTTTTTCTGATACTGCTGTCATCAACACATCGTTCGTTGTATGTTTCATTGATTTGTATAATAGTTTTTTCATCATTATTATTATTGTTGTTATTACATTTACAAAGAAAATTGTTATCTAACTTGTGCGAGTTTTCATTAGTTGACGATCTGAAACCTGAATCCGAAGAATGTTCGCTAACAGTCTCAATTTGAAGCCTCTGCTCTTCTTCATTTATATTATTTTCATTTTCAGATTCTACGTTGACCACCATACTACTATTTAATTCATTTTTAACAGTCGCTCTAATACTGTCATCACTCGTGTCTAATAAGGCATCCACAATTTTATCTAGAGAAAGATTGTTTATAAAAGAAGAATCATTGTTATTTACAGTTTTCGTTTTATTAAACTTAAAATCTAGAAATTTTTTGACTAGAGGTGTAACCTTATCGTAATTTTCATTAATAGTTAGGCCTGGTAAACAACCAGGATTTTGCGGCGTGGTTAAAAACGATATTTGGTGTAAAAAATCGGTCACGTGATCAATTTTTTGTTTCTTACTTGGAGGTAAATCATCCAAAATGTTAACAGTGGTAGGTAATTTTTTAGAACTGTTTCTAATCAATGTTTCTAAGCAGTGCGTCGTTCTCATAGCACATGGGGAATACTCAGAAGTAAAAGTTGGTAAGGTTGGTGCATAAGTATCTGGAACTTTTTTCCTAACACTGCTAAAACTACTATTTTTACATGCACATAAGTCGTTCTTAACTCCTTCTATGTGGGAATCTACAGTTTCGAATGGCCTGAAATAATTGCTTGTTTGACTGTCTATTACCAGGAAATCATTGTGGGAACTGAGGCAATCTTTTTTCTTTTTGTGGTGGTGTCTGGGGGTATTCAGCGGCGTGCGAGATTTTTTTTCACTTTTGCATTTTCGGGCTGAAAGGGCTTTGTGATTTTCTAGAAACTGAAAGAAAAATAAATAAAAATTACATAAACTAAAAAATAATAGCTATTATAAAAGCATGTTTACCATATTACAAAAAAATCTATATATAGTTAAACTAGTCTTTAAAGAACCTGTGCAGAACCTAATCATATATTAAGCTCTGCAAAGTAAGAGCAAAACGACATAACAAATAAGAATGAAAATTTACTCCTAAGCAAGTATTAGAAGTCATAGTAATACCTAAGTGGAGTTAGAAGTCAAATACAAAAAAATAAATACCAAATAATGGTAGTGAGTTCAACAGTTAAAACAAAAAGTTCATAGGAGAAGTGGTAGCAGGTATCCATAAAAAAATAACTCTTTAAAATATTTAGAGGCATATTTTCAAGCTTCATTTATAAAAGAAGTATTGCTAGTTGATGGGACATGAAGAACGGACATCCAAAAACACCTTTTCCATTTCTTTTGAAATTTAGACGCATGATTTCAAAAAAAAAAAAACAACAAAATGTGGTCAAAAAAGTCTCACCTCCTGTGATATTACCCTTGACTATTTCACTCATCTTAAAATATTCTCATAATCTGACCAATCACAAACCAAAGTATTTTCTGATTAGTCTATCAGCTTGATGTTTTCAACCACGTAACCAAGGATACGGATCGCAAAGCAAAGTTTGTCACAGGACGACTCCAAAAGCAGCCTTAGAAGTCTTTCCTAACACCACTGCAAGGCGAAGCCACGTCTGTCACATACAGACTGCACAGAGGTCAAGCACCCATAAGCAATCTAAATGGGCGTAACTACTACGAAGAATATAAAGAATTGGAAAACGGCCAAATAATTGGAAAAACAATATAAAGTATACTAAACAGGAAGACATGGAATGAAGGACCTCCTATTCATGTAAAAATCACCTGGTATACAGACGGCTCCAAAACTCAGTAGATATATACAGTGCCAAGCCAAAGACACGAATCTCAGCTTCTGCAACAGTATATCAGGTAGAAATAGCAGCAATACATCACTTGACAAAAGAGGTATAAAGACATGAAGTAAATGGAAAAAGGACTGTCATATACTCAGAGAGTCTAGCGATGTTAAAAGCACTCACTTTGCAGATACACCCAAAGCTTGTGTGAGACTGTTTAGAAGCCCCAATAGAGCTAGCTTGTCAAAACAGAATAATCTTAGCCGAGTTTTGTTAAGTTTTTTGTGTGTTTTAGGGCCAATTCCACCGCTAGTGGTTAATAAATAAGCCAAGTTTAAAATTACATTTTTAATAGAAAAATTTCATTTTAAACCCAGTTTATATCTTAGCTACTAGCGGTGGAATTGGGTCTAAGACTTAGTTTTCTAGTCTTTGTTGAATACTTAGATTTTTATTATATTCAAGGTAAACATGTCTATACAGGAAAAAGTAAATCGCCCATAATTAAACCATGAGGGTAACCCGATTTAAGATATAGATATACAGATTCTTACCGACTCCCAATGCTTGTCCTTAACTTTAGGCGTCAAATTCCCGACGTCTCGAAGAGCTCCAACTCCTTCCGCGGACGTCTTGATCGGCGTCGACGTAAACCGATTCTCTTTATCGGCGTCCATAAGGCCGTCCAAACTGTTGCGTCCGAGCGCCGTCGAAGGAGCGATGCTCGAACGTCGGCGTCGCAACGCCGTACTCGAGCGTCGTCGTTTCGCCGTGGACGTTTTGGCGCGAGGCGTCGAAATGCGAGCGGCCGGCGTTAAAGTTGGGTAATCTAATGGTAGAGGGCGCTGTTGGTGGGGGTCGTCGGTATTGCTGGTGTCGCGACGACCCATTACGGTCCATTTTAGCATTTTTTAGGGTTCTGAAATAAAAAAAAAAAAAACTATATTTACTGATGGAGTGGCGCGCAATTCTGTTGGGACCTCAAAAGATCAGAATAAAAGAAAGAAGACACGTTTTGATAGTGATTATTTATGGGACACACAACATTGGATTTTACAAAGAAATATGATGTGTCGCTTCGGATGATTCGTATTAACAAAATAAGACACTTTTTGTGGTGTATTTTAGGAGATGTATATTACCAGGATTATAAAATTTTGCATTAAAATTGATTATCTTTTTATTAAATTAAAAAATTACCTTATATTTTCAGTTTGATTTGAAATCTGAATTTTGAGATCTAGAGGGCTGGAAAGAATAACATATGTGTACAAAAAAATATTTAAAAAAGTTGTGGTTTTGACCAAGTAATGTTATTTATTCAAAAAATTTACAAGAAAAAAATGTCACACATTTTTCCCATCAGCACAAGTGGACCAAGAATATTTGACGTTTTTATTGTTTTGGATACCTATGGTTCAAAGGTAGTACAGTTGGAGGAAGAAGAAGAAGAAGAAGAAAATTATAGCAGAATTAATTTATTGATAAAAATCTTAAAAATTTATCTATCTTTAGACAAAGATGCAATTTTTATTCACCCTAATCCATCTGTAGACTGGCGGCACGGTAGCCTGCGGCTTATTGTACCACCATTTGTCCTACTACTTTCCCATTCACCAACTGACTTCCTCATTCTTTGTCATTCATTCTACGTCATCAATGGTTAAATGCTAGTGGGATAAGTTCCATGGTGACCCGACCCATCATGGAAAGTCCTAGTGATCACCCATCTACGACGTGAGCGGATGTATGACTACTTAACTGTTGCGAGAATGCGGATGCGCACTAATCTCGTGGATAGCCTCTTCGACATTTGTTGCAGCGGTGATAAAAATGTTCACCATGAATCATAAAATTAAAACATGCTATATTTTTACTCAAAAATACAAGTTGATCCATTAAACAACCAGCTTTTCTTATTATAGGGCCCTCTTTTTTGCGCACTTACCAAGATAAAACAACATCCGAAGCTTTCGCGCGGATACCAAGTGTATATTATCGAATATTAGTAATAATAACAACAATAATGTTTATTTACAAAAAATACGATCAATAATTATATGTATAAAAATCCTTTACTATTTCACCTTAGAATATAAATAAAATCAATTTAAATGTAGTTAATCATTTATTTAAAAAATAATTCCACTAGATTACCCTCAAAAAACGTTAATCAATAAATAAGAAAGAACATTTTCGAATCCGTCATCTATGTAATAAATAAAAATATTCTCTCAAAAGAAATTACTATCAACACAATAGTTGTTACAATATACAGACAAATTTGGCCAGCCCGCGTTTCAGGTGGAGTTGAATACCGAGAAAGATAGGCGTCTCATTAGACTGAACGGAGAAAGAAAGAATTATTACACGTACAATTGTCTTTACACAAACAAAGAGAGGGTTGCGTACAGAGATAGTAAGAAACGCATCCTTATATTGCACAGACTACAAAACGAAAAAGTATGCCATTGCTTTCAACTGAACGAATATATTTCATATCCATTCCACCTAGAAAGAACACTGCAAAATATGAAATCCACCAACCATAGTTCCATATTTGGTCATCCGACTACTGTTATTTTTTTAAATTTTAAATAAGTCACAATTCTGTCAAACTAATTGTCAGTATATTTTTTAGTTATTGAGCTTAAATATACATTAAAATGAGTTATTCTTTCGTAGAATCGATAAATAATAGCTTTTCTATTTTTATGTTGTCTATATTTAAAAATAAACCATAAAATTTAATAAAACTATATGCAGTCAATTTAATAGCGAGTAATAAAACTAAAATGTTATGTGTGGCGATGGAGTAGGTACTAGGGCAATTGGCTTTCATGCAGAGGTTCCGGGTTCAATTCTAGGATTGGAGACTAATTAAATTTTGTTTTTAGTTTATTTTATTATATAAATTAGTAAATGTCATTAATTATTTTTTAATTAGTTATTTTATCTTAATAACCTAAAATAATTTTTAAAATTTTAAGATTTTCGTTAGTGGGTTGTAGAAAAAATATACTGTACAACTCAAGTGGATTGTCCGTATCGCAATCAGATGATTGAGCTCTCCGCCTACGTGTGATATGGCCATTATATCCAGTCTTGTTGCACAAACTACTATTTTAGACCCACATGAATAGTATCTATTCTACGCACAGAATACACTGAACAAAAAAAGTAGGCCTTTGCTTTCTACTTACTGAACGGGTATTAATTCATATCCATTATATTAAGAACAATGTACGGATATGAAATCCACCAATCACAATTTATATATTTTGTTACAGGGTTACTATTATTTTACTATTTTAAATAAATGACTGTTAGTATATTTTCTTGTGAAGAATCAATAAATATTAGCATTTCACCAGAGATATACCAATAATTTGTTCATTTAAATAAAACTAGCAAAAACTAATATAATTATCAATAAAAAAAAAATATTTTTATGGTTCCATCTAAATTAAGAGATACTCTCGTGAATCGGCTGCCTGCCGTGATTGTACAGATGGATGCACCTTTACCACTAGTGGGCTGGCGTTGTCTAATCAACAGCATCGCTTTTTCTATACCGTTTTTCTGGCTTCATTGTGGTAAGCTTAACATACTGTATATTGTCTGTCTCGTTAGTACTAATAACAACTAAGAAACCATTATAATACGATATTTTGGTACAAAAACCTATGTTTTCTATACATATATTGCCTATTAAAAAAATATATAAAGAATTTCCTCTATACTCATATTATTGTTTTGCTTTTTTCAAATAAAAAAAACTTTTTAGAATAAAATATTCTTATTTTAAATTTAATATTAAATATTTGGCACCAATGGCCTTACCTCTTATATCAGCAAGACCTTATGGCATCAACTTCTGTTAGTTTTTATGGTTTCTTTAGGTCGTTTTATAAATTTTATTACCCGAATGAATAATTTTAATAGTTTATTTTTATTAGATGCAAAACTTTAGGACAGGTGTATCTAACCTGTTCGTACGTCAGCTGCATTTATACGGTACTCACCCCCAAAAATAGTAAATGATTAGAATAGTTTAACCCTGTAGCGGACGTCAAGTGAATGAGAAAGTATTTTTCATTTAGTATACTTTTTGTTGGGTTTAAAAAACGCATTAAAACTAACGGTGATTACGTATCTACTTTAATTATTTTATTTAATGATGAACTGTAGTGAAATATAAAAGACAAAGTTGGAAAATCTGGTCTAGCAATATTTGATCATCGGTAGGTTTTTATTTGAACCAGAAATAATTTATTACTGTTTGCATCGACAGCCATATTGTTTATAATTGAAATTTAGTTTAATCGCTGCAAATGCAAAAGTAATGAGTCACATACAATCAAAATCATGTGTTGTTTTAAGAAGTTTGCCGCTTTCAACGATTGTTTTTTTTTTTTGTTTCAGGATTTATGGATGGAACTCTGGTTTCATTTTGCACGATTAAAGAAATGATTGATTGTTTTGTGTTATTTAAAATAGTTGTTTATTCAGAAAGTATATGTATAATATACTTATTGTTGTAACCAATGAAGATTCTACAAATAATATTTAATTAATACAATTTTGTATTATTTATTTTACACCTCTAAAATTATTTAACATAAAATTTTACATTTTTATTAGCATTTTTTAACATGCATGAAATGCGTGTTAAAAAAATTTAAAATTCTTATATTTTGTCGAAGTAAATTCAAAAGCCAGCCAATTGTCAAACTAAAATAGCATTACAGCTCTCTATATTACCGACTGAATATAAGTTGCACAAAACTATCCCATATGTCTCTGATGGCAAACATGTTGCCAAATTTCTGTGTGGAATCTGCAACTCTTAATTATCCTTCCACCATGGCGTTACCAGTTTCATTTCTCTCGCAAACTCCTTCAATGTAGGCGAGTAAATGCAACACTTTTGCTAATTCCATTAGAGACTAAAATTGAGGATATCCATTGCTTGCTGATGAGTCCTGACGTTCTCTTTAGCAAGCAAAATCAAAGTTAGAGTGTGTCAATGAGCCAAAGGAAAAGTTATTTTCTGAAGAGAAACGGTCGCTTGTATTTTGTGACATATGGTACCGTGATTTATTTTCTGTTTTATTTCTAGACATTAAATGTCTATATTAGGTTCGTATTATTTAATTAGAGGCACTAAAATATTAGTAAAATAGATACTTGCAATATAAAAATTGCTCATGAATATTTTTGAGGCCTGTCAAACCAATATTAACTATATTGTCCATCTATTTATGACCAGCCACAGTCTTCAGTTTGTCGTTTTTCAGTGGGTATTTTCAAATGGGCATTACCCTATACCTATTGTTAATATACAGTGTTCTCTTGATGTGCTCTAATAAGTTCTAATGATTAGCGGTAAGCAGGAGCCATGATATCCTACAATATCAGAAAGGTAGGTCAACAGAGGTAGCTTTGTTAAAGCACTCGCTCAAAATCGTTATATTTCGTCATTGCCGGGACATATAGCTAAGTTGTCGGTGTATCATAAATTTGTAAATTATGGTTTTTCATTTCAATTATTTTGTAGTAGCAATTTTGTCGGTCACATTTTTTAGTGTATTATATAGTTCGTTTCAAAATTAAAAAAATTAAATTTAAACATATGGTAACCATCATATACCCCACCCATCGTAAAATGACATATTCAGGTCGTCGGACTGAAAACCGGCGCTTTAAATTTTAGCGGTAACTATGATCGATTGGGTTGGGGTGTATTTATTAAACAATCCTACATAAATTAATTATATGTTAATTAGAAAACATAATCTCGTTATTCTGACATGTGGCAGCCGATGGACTCATCGATCACCAAATTAATACTGTCGTCAAGCCTTGTTTCGTGTTAATGCGCTGGAAAAGAACTATATGGTCATTGTATTACATAACATCGTAAAATCGACATGTTTAGGTATCGCGCAGTAGAAAACGCCGTGTTGAATTTTGATAAAGAAAACGTAAAGCCACTCGAAAAGTTTTAAATATGTAGCAATCAAGCAAAGTCGGGGTAAACGTACTTATGATACTCGATTTATTCAATTTGGCTGTTCCAACTGTAACTATTTTTCAAAAATATTCAGCTTTATTTTGCGTTTCATTTTGACTCTCACGTTCGTTCCATCGTCAACGTATTAAACCCTAAAAATAAAATAGTTTTTGCTGAATACCCAAACAAAGCACAACTATTAGTTCACCTGTTGCTTCCTTCCTTCCTTCTTACAAAACTTTGAAGAATAAAAGTTTATTGGCTTCTAATTCGATTATAAAAGGGTCCTTTAACAGGTGTTTCGGCAATTAATCACAAATTAATTGATTCATACCCACTTGTTACGACGCAGGCAATGATGGGCATGAAGCATTTGGAAGGCAGGGAATTATGTTAAATGGATGGTGCTTTAAATTATGTTCGTTTTCTGTCAAGTTGTCTTTGATTTTCAAAAGGCAAATGTTTATTTAATGAAGGTTTAAACAAAACTGAAAATAATGATAAATTTGATTTGTTATTAAAACCATGTTTTTAAAAAATAGTGGCATAATTTTCGACTGAAGACATCATTAAAAATGTAGTTCTAAAACGTTTTTACACATTACTTCTTTAGCTACACTTGGAATATTTGTGTTAAAAAAACTCAAAATGAAGTAAATCCATTATTAATTAGTAAATGTCCCTTATACCTTTTCTTCCTAATGCCTTTAGAAAAGTGTACCATTTTCTATAATAGTATTCTTTTGTAAGAAATAACTGTGGACACATTTATTTGTGGGAATGAATCCATTTGCAGATTTTGGTCACTATAGTATGAAATCGCATTTTCTTCTACAATTAGGTATTCCAAACAAATGAAAAGCGCTGCTAAGGTTTGGTATATCTAAAGGGTTGCGACATACTATGTAGTCTACCTACAATACGTGAAATCATAAACAATGGATTAAATTTAAATATGTCAAACAAATGAAAATATTATTTCTAAAAAACCGCTAATACATTTTATATGAATTGGCAGGCTTGTTGACTATTATTTCAAATACAAATAGCGTCCAAGATGAAAGGTTATGTCGCAAACCCCTTAAATTTACGAGCCCTTCCCACTGGCAGCTATTCTTTGACAGGTCGTTTGGAATGTCTAATAGAAAACAATAATTGACAAGATATGATTGTACCTATTTTTTTATCGGTATTCTATAAACTTTTTTCTTTAAATAAAATTGAGTTCAAAAAAGTTTTATCGTAGACCGATTTCAAAGAAACCTAAGCGGAACAAATCTTTATTTTTTATTTATAAGTAATGAGTGATTCATTTTTTTCTTTAGTAGATCATAGAAAAACTAAGGTACGTAGAAGCAAACAATTCTTTTTATATGGATCATATGACTTATTTTAAAGTTTTAATATGTCAACTGAATATTAAATAAAATTAATGACGTTTATAAAATAGGCCAAAGAAAAAATAACAGATTTCTTCTTTTTTTTCTCTAATGACAGTTTGGATTTAATTCAGCCGCATATAGTTATTACATGGCTTCACAGGTTATTATTTGGTTAATATAAAATAATTTGCGCGGCTACTCTTTGTATCCGACATATTTAATCACATGAACTCTCCCCTATAACGTGTCATTTTGGCGCCAACGAGTGGTATAGCGAATTAAAACTGTAACATTCATTTTTTCTAAAATTGACACCCTCCGATGACACGCGTTTAAAGAGTTAAATTCATTCGACTGTCGCTAAATTAAACTCATATTATTCACGGTCCAAAGTGTACTTTATTATTTTTGAATTTGATACAATAGATCTCATAACACAATGCAGATTTTTTTTATCTTTAGTGGCGCAGTCATATGACATATTTCTGATCGTCGACAATAGTTGACGTGCGAAGACTATAGTTATTATAGCGGGGGAGATTTGAATTGAAGCAGGGTGGGTTAAATGAAACAAACGAATGCATTTAAGCGATGTTAAATTAAGTATGTTTGACGGTTTGACACTAAAGAGATTCGTATGAAAAGTTACATAGTGATTACGTAACACCCTGTTATTTTAAGTTACATCTGTTTTTTTAGTTTTGAATCCAACTACCTAATAAAAGTAAAATACTATATCGTGTAAAATATAAGTAGTTTGTAACAAGATAATAAAATATAAAATTAAAACTTTGTTCATTTCTAATTCGGCACGCTACGATTTTGGTCAGATCCAATATAAAAAAATACTGAAAATTTTGTTTTTCAAAACCAAAAAACAATAACATTTTGTTAATATATTCTGGCTCTTTTGCGAAACCGTCACAACAGCAGTGGCATATGGTAAAAACTGTAAAACCACCATAGCGTGACTCAATATTACAGTCGGTGATTTTTTATGGGTTGGGTAATATGGAAATAATACGTTACCACCACAATTGAATAGAGGACAAAGAACTAAGTAGGTGTTAAACTTAAAAGAAGTTAAACGCATTAGTAACTTAATACTTAATAATAGCCTAAGATTTTACAAAGCGTGGAAATAAAATTTCTCTTTTTTATAAACTCTTGAGGATTAATATTAATTAATAAATTTTATTCCGTTGTTGTTTTGTTTTAGTGTTAACATTTGCAGGGTAGTTCTTACTTATTTAAGTAAATTATTTTAGAGATAGATTAATTATAGCAAAAATGCTGTTTTCACAATAGTTTTTTCGATATATTATTGCAAGCTCTCTCTATCCTATGATTTTTTTACTTTAACGTATTTTATTTAGTCTTTTGTGACGATCTTCCTATCTTATTTGTTATCACTTGGCGCCTATTTTATTACCCTTTTTACTGTATTTATGAAATTCCCATGCGGCCTTAGGATTTATTGCAGCTTTAAATAAACTTTCATTTCCTCTTATTTCTTCTATATTTTATAACTATGTAAGAATTTTCTACAGCTTCTTACTGGCATCTTAATAATGAAATTTTGATCATATCTACTAACATAGACATTTTTAATGCATGCTACTGTTCAAAATTATAGCACCATTCAATAGTTCAGGAAATTATATGCTGTCGTAAGAAATATATAAAACATAGGTACATGAAAATTGGACTGACGAAACAAGAATAATATTTATAAAGTTAAATGTCTATATTTCTGAGTAATACGATAATTTTGAACAGCAGTATATATATTAGGTTATATTAAATATTTATTTATTTTTTTTTATTTATTTGTTTATGGTACAATATCCACGGGCTAAGCCCATAACAGGATAAGGTTAGCAATACAAAAAAATTAGCAAGTATATATATAAAAAAAAACACAAAATTGATGTAGGTAATAAAAATGACAATCAGTTGCACCTAAACACTTACTGAAAAAAAAAACATAAAGGGAAAAAGTGGATGTTTAGGAACGACTGTACCGTTAAAGACAAATACATAACTAATCAAGAAAAAAGCAAACTAAAAACAATTGGTAAAATATTATCGTTAAAAATTAATTATGGGCACATTTCTTAACAAGAAAAAAGTTTTTAAGGTGTCTAACACTAGTAAAAAAATATCAAGCTGTGATTCAAATGACAAATAATTGTTGATGAGTTGGTTAAGTGGAGATAATTTGGAAGCATTTGTTCTGCATGGTGAGCTGTAAAATAGGCTATGAGTTCTAGCAGTGATCCTGGGAGTTCTGAAGTTGAGAAGACTTATTATAACTTCACATTTAAAAATAAAATTTACTATTTTGTATAAAAATATTACAGAGTGCATAGATCTACGATGGACTAAGCTGCAAGTTTTGAAACGGATAAAAAACTGTTCCTGTGGGAAGCCTCTTGGTGGATAATTACTGTCAAGTATGTAGCTTGCCGATTTAAAAAATCTTCATTGAACTCGCTCGAGACTGGACATATGTACACTATAATTCGGGTTCCAGATAACACACGCATATTCCATCTCAGATCTGACAAACGCTGAAAACAGAAGGTTAAGTGTTTCGATCCTATGAAATTGTTTACAGTTGCGAATTATAAAACCTAATGAACGGAACGCAGAGGTAACTGTTTTTTCTATATGCAACACAAGTAATAATTTTGGATCAAAATATATGCCTAGATCCTTAATAAAATTAGGTCTTTCAAGAACAACGTTATCTATTGAATAGTTAAATATTATTGATGCCTCTTTACGACAGAATGACATTACATTTCCCTTAGTTGGATTAAGTGGGAGATTATTACTTTTGCATCACGTGAATAAATATAGCAGATTTTGATAGAGATTCAAACAGTCGGTCATTGTATTTATTTCACAGAATAGCTTCATGTCATCTGCATATAGTAGATATTTGGCATTCAAATGTTTTACAATATCGTTTATAAAAATTATGAACAGTAATGGCCCCAACACGGAGCCTTGTGGTACACCTGACGGAAGATGTAAGATTTGTATCCCAACATTTAAACATATTGAGTTTTTTCAGAGAGGTGAGAATAAAAGAGAGCAACTAGAAAATTGCTCAGCCCAAGGGAATTAGGCTTATTTAATGATAATCCATGATCTAATTTATCGAAGGCTTTAGAGAAGTCAGTGTAGATTACATCTACCTGACTTCTCATATATATATATTGCATTTTGAAGAATAAATTGGAAACTGTTAATCGTCCAGTCATGAATCCATGTTGTTCTGGGATAGTAAGTAGATTGGCATGATGTGATAAATTGTCGTGAATTACAATTTCAAATAGTTTAGCTAAGTTAGACAATATGGCTATCGGCCGATAATTAGCGATATTATTTTTATTTTCTTTTTTAAACACGGGACAAGTTCTGGATAATTTCCAGACACTAGGAAACTTTTAAAAATCACAGAAAAGGGTTTACAAAATGAATATGCACAATCTTTTACTAAGAAAGTTGGAATTAAGTCTGGACCATTGGTCATCTTAGGTTTTAATTTTTTTGCAGCGATCTCTATTTCTTTTTCTGTAATTTTTTTTATATATAATACACTGTTATTTGTTAATAAGTTTGAAGTAAAATATGAAGTCGAGGAAACAAAATTTTTTTAGAGGACATCAGCAAAACCATTTATGACTTCTTGCGGTCCATTATAGTCCGTACCATCAAAATTCATATCTTGAGGAATTGATGATTCGCCTTTTTTGGATTTTATAAAAGACCAAAATTTGGAAGGGTCTGATTCGGTTGATCTAATGTAATTTTGGTAATATAAAAACAATAAGTGGAAAAAACAATTTTTATTGTTATGCATCAATTATTGGAGAACAAGTGCATAGCCACAGAACTATATATTTATGACCTTCATTTAAAATTGCCCCTCCTTACTTTGAAGTCCACCAAAACATCATTCATAGGCTTTAACTTTATTTCAGAGAACTTATGAAAAAATTAAATAAATGTGAATCAAAGTAACAATTAAATTAAAGAGAGGATCTATTTATGTATATACCATTATGAAAATATGACCTTAATTTTATACTAAAAATAAAAATGTCCAGTAAGTAGTAATTTTACTACAGTTAAATAACGTAAATATTCGGTTAAGTCGTCGAAATCCCTACACCGGAAGTAGCAAAAGCGGACGACAGAAAATGCTTGTAAAGGTATTTTGTTATTTTTATAAGACGTCCAAAAGTATATTATTATATTTCATTAACAGCAAAAAACAAAAAATCCATCGACAGCTCCCACAATCGAAACATATTACATGCTGTTCATCCCCTTTCCCTGTACTCGACTACAAATAGCAAGCAAAAAACACGACATCCGCCTTTTGCAGTCAGATGAAGGAGAACTATCATAACTTAGAACTATGTATTTTTAAAATTTGTAATTTTCAACTCTCTCTTTATTTTTACAAAGTTTGATTCTCATAAATTTGTTCGATAATTTATTAGTCAGTATTTCTGTGTTTTTTGCATTATTGAATAAACAAATTTTGATCAAATTGATGGTTTCTAATACAACACTGCAATATTGTAGCTGCTAATCTATTTATGCATCAAGCTCAAATTCATGTTGCATCAGTATACCACCTCTTTTCAACTCATCATAGACATTTTAGTTACCCCTACTAGTTTTTTAATGAATCAAAAAGTTAAAAAAAATCAGATCAAAATAATAAAAAATCGTTATGCGATAAACGCTTATATAAAAAAGAGGGCAATGAAAGCTTACTATTATTACACATCTCACAAAAGGGTAGCTTTTTTATTTACCAATAGATAATCAAACAATAGGGAGGGTGGATACGCTATAAATGTAACTTAGACCGCATTTTACGACTTCAGCCTTAATAAATACCAATAATTCTACAACTTAACATAAAGTTTTGGTTAAA